ACTGCTGTGGTAATCAAGAAGATATGGGACGATAAAGGTCTAGAGAGAATCGACTATGATGCTCAGGAGGACAATGACCAGAAATAGGTATTGAATAAGTCCCGTAAAAGCGGAAAGGAATTGGTGGTAAGGGTCATCAAGCAGAACTAGCTTTGTTTTCGAGGAATTGGTAGAACATATTGAGTTCGAAGGCCTCTCTGCTTATATCATTAAATCCAGGTAGCTTTGATGAAATACGCTGGAAACAAGTTGAATACGAATACAAGAATTGGACAGTCGAGTCTAGACACATCCTCTCGAGCCAGGGCTGTATGGAGAGGGTTACAACTCTCTCTGTGGACGATCAGACCCTTCATCTGACGTCGTCTTCCGGTTCTCTTCTGCTTGCGATGGTTTGCCACATCCTTTAGACAATGATGTCTTTAACAAAATCAAAAAGGACGCTGCTCCGAGGTATATGAAACCAACAAACAACTGGACCCGCAAGTATGGCCTGTCCGCAGTCTTGTTTCCTCTCAGTTGCACAGCTATCGCTTCCGCAACGGCAGTCGGAGGTCCAAGGGTAAACCACAGAATAGCCAGCGCCGTATGGAGATCCTGCAGGCCTACGACTTCGGCCGCCAACGGCGCCGCACTTGCCCAGATTGTCCCTGCATTCAACCCTGCCACGATCGCGAAGAAGTAGATCACCCCGATTGAATTGGCGAAAGTCCAGATCACGAGACAAAAGAGGCCAGCAACAAATGTTGAGACGAAGGCGACATGAATACGGCCCAGACGGTCGCTTAGCAAGCCGATAGCAGGACGGCCGAGCGCTTGACCCAGATTCAGCAACGCACTGGCGATACTGGCCTGCTCTTGCGTGAAGCCCACAGCGACCGTGTAGCTGGAGAGACTGAACAGCAGACCCACGTAGCCCAATACACTCAGAAAGGCCCAGACCAAAAAGGAGGAGAACTGTAATTTTTTGACGCAGGAGTGGCGCAGTGTAGAACCAGGTGACCAGTCCACCGAAATCGAGTGAGGACTCCCAGCAGGCAATCGTAGCAAATTGCAACAAATGCCGTTGACCGTGAAGCACAGGATGCCGAGGATGCGCATCGCGCATGGAAATCCCAGCTGCGGGATCATCTTCCCAGCCGCGAGTGAGTAGACTAGTCCCCCGGTGCCGGAACCAGCGGCGGCAATTCCGTTGACGAAGCTGCGCTTTCGCAAGAACCAGTACGAAATGACGCCCACGGAACCGCTGAAGCAGAAACCCATGCCAAGGCCGAAGCAAACTCCCTGGGCAAGAAAAAGCTGCCAGTCGGTCCTGACGAACGACGTCGTGACCAAGGATAGAGTCTCGAGCACGGTACCGGTGTTGAGGACAAAACGGGTGCCAATCTTTCGCGCTAGGTATGTGGAAAGAGGAGCGACGAACATAGCGCAAGAGATACTCAGACCGCCGACAAACGCGTATTCGAGCGCTGTTGTGCCCGGAAAGGTCTCAGAAGAGAGATAGTATGCAAGGAACACGCCGTATGACTGTCATTTCTGTGCTGTCAGCGGTGCACACCTTTTCCTCCTCGCGCAACATAAAACGGGGCATTGCAGTAGCATGCTTACACTGTTGATACCCCATGTATGCGCGTTGATGAGAAATGTACAGACAACGCAAATCCAGCCATAGCCGCCCTCAGGAGGGACATTACTCGTTTTCTGGGTGTTGGTGGTCGTAGAACCCTTCTCGACCTTTCTTTTCTGAAGCAACATGGCCGCCTTGATTCCCATCTTCTAGTTCAAACGACCTTCTTCTGAAATCGCTGGCAAGAGGGAGAATATGTCTCTTCACAAGGGATAGAATCGATCTTTAAATATCTCACCGCGCGACGCCAACGTAGCGGAATGAAATTTTTTCTCGGGCGAGCATCCACTCGTGGGTGAGCGTACGGCGGCGTTGTTTGCAGAGCCTTGCATTGCGAAAAGCACGACCGGAGTTGTAAGAAGAGCGGCTCAGATACGGAGCAATTGATCTGGCAAGCGTGGTCGGACATGGTCAGCGTCATCGAGCATCATCGAGAAGGGGAGGTTAAAGCTGTTCCGTGGCATCATGCAATCGAGTTCGCAGTGTACCAGCTGTGGATGTCGCTTAAATGCGTCTTATTTCTTTTCTGGGCGAGTATCTCCGGAGCACGTGCCAACAGTCCAAAAAGCTATCCAATGACATGGCCCAGACTTACTACCGAGTACCCCGTACATCTTTTCCCTTTCTAATTTCCTTAAGTCCGAGCATCGTCGTTTTGGGCATTTCATCGCCGCACCACATTTGAGCTACTCCGCACTTCATACGTACTTCCGGCATACCCAGTTCTCTCTTTCATGGTGCAAATCTATGGTGTGAGTGCCAGATAACTTCTACCTTGACTGTCATGAATGTACAAGGACAGAAGAAAAGTCGAACTCGGCACGCGTTGAGTTGTGTTCCCTGCCGACAGCGCAAGATCCGATGTGACCGTGCAACCCCGTGCGACACCTGCCAAAGACGTGGCCGCATCCAGCTCTGTAGATATGGAGATCAAGATCGCCTGTCGAGCAATGATGCGCGCTCTACACCCGAGAGGTGAGTTATAAGCTAGACCACCCCCCAAGACGGCTCTCCTTGCCTTGATCTGCTGTAAATCTGACCGCCTGGAGAAAGGTCGAAAAGAGTGGTTCACCGTTTCGTAATCGCAACGCCTGACTCCCCATTCCCAGCCGAGACATCGACGTCGCCACAATCCCCGAGGAACGAAGACACCGCTAGCGTAGATGAATCTGTGCCGCCAGGCTCCTTGAACGACCTCGGCGAAACGTCACAGCTGATCCACTTTCTTGACGCCGTTGGCGCTGGCCTTGAAAACACGTGGCATACGGAGCACTTCACGGGCGAGACTATCTTCCTCGGGTCGAAGTCAGCCGCCTCTCTCTTCCGATGCCTCAGCAAGCAGGTGCCGAGTGTCTTGTGCTTACCAGACGGGCTCACGATTGAATCTGTCTTCGGCCTTACGAATCGCACCACATTACACCCATTTGGCTCTCTTTGGTCCTATGCCGGGAATCCTTCGCTGGCAGAGATTCTCAAAGCCCTTCCTGGGGTGGAAAGTTGCATGACGTCAGGTTACCTCGGGGACGCCGTACCAGAAGAAGACAGATATCTCTAACTGTTTCACAGATATTATCGTAGTTTCCAACAGAATGTTCATCTATTCTACCCTCTGTTGCTCGACCCCGATGATTTCGAAAGCCGTCTGTGCGACTTCATGGAAAAGATAGGGAACTCTGGCATCGAGTCTGCGCTCGAGTTCGCCTCGGACGAAGGGTGCTTTCATGATGCCGCTTGGTATGCCCTGCTCTTCGGGGTGCTCGCTTGTGGCAGTCAATTCTCGGGCCCCGGGTCACAAGATCGAGTCCTGAAAGCCAGAGTCTTCGGTACGTGATCAGTGGCGTTTCGTGTTTAATCATGGTTCATCTAGGCTGATGCGCTGTAGTTGCCGGGGCGTTTGAATGCTTACGACTCGCGCACCACTACGGGATACCCTCACTGGTGACCATTCAGACGCTGCTGATGATCCAGTTCGCAATTGCAAATGACTCGAATCCGGGTGTCGCCTTGGGAGTCCTCGGTAACGGGCCCCGAACCGCTGTCAAGTTCATCTTGCAAAGACTAACACTTTATGAAGCGTCTACCAGTCAACAAGCACAGTCGCTTGGCTTGCACGTCGGAAAAGCGGACAATCGACTGACCGCGAGAACTATCCACCCGATCTGGTAAGGGACCTGGCCGACAGTGCCACACTTACTGATGAGTCCTGACCACTCCTTTCAAGGTCAATGATAATGTTCTTCGACTACGAATTGTCGTCGGCCTTCGGTCGCATCCCAGTGAGTTTCTTGCCCACGGGAAACGGTCTTGACCTGCCTCTGCACCAGCTCGGCACCCCTCCGATGACATTTTCGGAATTCATGATTGAACTTCTTCGGCTGAAGCAGAGCTGGCAAATGGCGTGGATGCATGTTCGGAGCCCTGCCGACACCGAGCCGGAGATAATTAGCAGGATTTTAGAGAGGGTCGCTGCGTTAGAAGGATCCACTTCGAGTGGCCGGCTGACGCAACCACAGGCTGGGCCAGTTAACATGAAACTGGAACAACTGATGTCCACCATCTACCTCAATAGCTTCCGGGCCGAAATACTACGTTGCAGCTCATTGTCGAGATTGGTGAACCCCGAGCTTCGGCAGCGACATTTCTGCAACATGCGAAAACATATTCAGCAAGCCCTGCAGTCTCTCATTACACTCAAGCAGCTGTCCCCGACAGTCGTCACGTCTTGGACATTACTTCATTGTACAATGAGCTCGGCGATGATACTAGCTGCCTTTGACTGTGCATTGGGCATTCGGGATTCGCGCACATTGCTGCAGAGGTTCACTCTCTGCTATTCTAGTGCCCCGAGGGACAATGAGAGCAATGTGTCAAGCACACCCTGGTCTGATGCTGTCAGAGCACTCGAGTATGTCCTTGAACGAGCAAGTGAAGAAGCTAGGGGAGTACACAGAACCACGTGTAAACTGCAGGACCAACGGTGTACCTAAATCTGGAACAGAATTTCATTCCCCCTCGCGCGTAGAAGTGTCCACTTCTGCTCGACGATAACTCTGACTCACTACATCGGAGCCTGCGCAGCTTGTGTAATCGTCTCTACATTTGAGAAAGCTGTGAAGAATTACTATAGGATCATCTCGACGAAACCCGAGTCAACCTATGATATTGGAATCTGTGAGACAGTTTCCTGGATTACTCCGCAAACTTGATGTTCATTGGGCGGTCGAAAGTACGAATTCAATGCAGCGATTCAGCGATGAAGTTACAAACTCAGACGAGTACATCTCTATGAAAGATCCTCCTGTCTCATCTTCTTCCGGGATCAAAGCCTCGAGGCTGCTCGAATACTATCTGCGTTGTGAGGCCCACAACAGCCTCAGCTTAACAGATCGGCCGTCATCTCTTCAAGAATTAGTCGTGACGCTCTTAAATCCGGGGCTTCACGCTCCCAGTATCGCAACGTTCCTATACAAGTCCGCATTGTGTCACTAAAGGCCGCGTCGGATATCTCACCATCTGTGAGACCAGATCGGTGCGCAGCGACGAGAAGCAACCCAGCAGCAAAGCTTTGGCGCACCATCAACCAAGTTCCGTGGTGTCGATGCGTAGTATTCCAATGCTGGATCAACTGGAGGCAGGCAGATATGTGCTTCTGCACAAGTTGGCGCCGACCACGGTCCTGCACTCCAGGTCCCGGACGATGGATTACGATATACAGAAACGGACGAAATATGCGTTCCTTGACCTCGGCAAAGCGGGCCTGCAAATGGAAACTCAACTCGTCGTCGGCCAAGGATTTGTCATTAAACGAAACCGGCGAAGGAAGATTGTCACGCCTACAGAAAGGTTTCGATGTTGGCACGAGAAATTTTTCAGGGCCGTACTGCTTACCATTGCGTCAGTTGTTGATCCAGCTCATCGGCGGACCATATCATATGTGAAATATTCTGTTGTAGCCAGGCATGGTGAGATGATTTGTAAAAGCAGTCGAAAACTCTTTGTAGGATGCGACGAACTGCTATATCCGCCAGATAGTAGTACCAGGCTTTTTCAAATTCGGGATCCAGCTCTCCGGATCTCATGGTCTTAGCGTGCAGGTCCTCAGAGACGTGCCATGCCCTTGGGGTTTGCGACGTGTTTGGTATTCCAGGTGGTAGAGGAAAAGCTTGGGTATAGTTGAGTGTGGTGAGTCCAGATGCAGGGAAGCGCAATTCGACCATGATCTCACTGTGAGGCCCCCCATGTTAGCATTCATTTGGACAACATTCATGAATTTGACATACTGTTCGGATTTGAGGCACGACCAGTAGAGACGGCTCGCCTGAGCCTTTTCCAGCCGGCTTTCGTCCACATAGTGCTCCGACCTCATCCAGGTCAAGGCTTGGAACGCGACACAGGCGCGATTGAAGGAAATGGATGCCCGAAGAGGGCGCATCGAGTACATTTCATACACACCAGCGAGAAAATGGCACTCAGTCGCCAACTTTGTGTTGGTAAGAAGACCAATACGCTTGCGCGCAGCGTCGTAATATGCCTCTGCTGTCGTATAATCCGGCGCATCAGCCAGGCTATCGCTACCCGGAAGATCACTGATGGACACGCGAACAAAGGGTTGCGAGATAGCGGCACATGCACAGGCCAAAAGCTTCCGCCGATGTCAATCCTCCACCAAAAAAAAAACTGCGGAGGAGAGGCTTACCACAAGGCATGTTCGAGCGTCCCAGCCGAGCCCCTCACTTGCGACAGGCCTTGCAATTTCTCGCAGAACATTGGATTCGAAGATCGGGTTCTTGGTGTGAACGTTAGCCAAGAATCTCTCTACAAGATCCCGGACATCCTCTTCTCGAATCCCGCGACCCAAGCTGGATTGGTTGCGAGGATCCAGGCTCACAGCGCTGGGGGAAGTGGCATGGCGCCCGCTTTCGAAATCAGAATGCAAAGTCTCATCAAAAATGAGCTTTTCAATCTGTTCCCTACCATAGTTGGAATGGAGCACCGACCAGTCCAGTATGTCCTCGCTTGAACCATGGAAGATCCGTGGGAGAGAGACTCCATCGACATTACCAGTTGTTGAAGTCCGAAGGGTTGATCTGATGTTCGAGACATCTGCATGTGGCGTCTCTGAAGTCCCCGGATCTGGCGTGAAATATGTCTCTGTGGATTCCGGCACAGAGCCAAAGATCATTGGATCAGTGCTTTGCCGTTCTGCTGCGGGATTCGAATCGCCTGGCATCCGGCCCTTTTGCTCGGATTCAACGATGCCTATTAAGTAATTGAGACGATCGAGTATAGTTAAACTTGCTGGGTCGAACCTAGAAAGTGTTTAGTAGGTGACCACGAAGTAGAAAGGCACGAACCCACGATGCTTGTTCCAAGTTTGGATCCGGGAAGTTGCAAGTTGAGCCAAGCTGTCGGCAACTACCGCAGGTAGGACGAGTATTGTCACATTTCGTCTTCCGGGCCCGACAGGTCTGACATGCAACGAATGCTCTCTTCCGGGGCCATGCACCCCTGAGCGTGGGGGAATATGTAGTTGGAGGGAGCTTTCGTTTGCTTCCAGCACGGTCGGTGGCTTCTCCAGTGGGCGATGGAAGCATGGCGCCTTCAAGGCTCTCCAGGAGATCCTGCTGGTCCGCCGGACAAACGATGAAGTCTCATGAAATACGATTGCGCGCCGTTGTTGCGGGGTAGGGAGTTTTTCGTTCGATCAGACTTTTTAGCCAAGTCAAGACCCTCCCGTGGTGGATCTAGAAGAACCAATCAAAAAAAAGCTAGTTCTAGCTAAACTTGTACTTTGACGACGCGCTCGTACTCAAAGCACTTGTGATTCAATGCAAAAGCAGGTCCACCAACGCAATTGGCATGACTTCGATTTCTGAAAAGGTTATTTTATGTACGAAGATATTCAATTTCAAACTTCCTTTGCATCCGGCCACCGTCAGGTCCACTAAGGAGCATATGTAACACCAAATAAACATTGCATTTTTCGTATACCACTTCGAACGGAACCGACTCTCTTCTCAGCCTCTTCTAATAGGCGATCGATCCAATCATTGGATCAAGTAGACTCTTATGCTTGGCATCCTCAACTTCTCTCCATGCCGTATTCTGCTGGTACATCTCGGAGTCTACTACCTGCCGTTCATCTTGAGTATGCAAATGGGTAAATAAGACGGGGAGTTTCGACGATGATACAAGCCCCCTCAGAAACAGCTCGACTGCCCAGGTGATATTACACCTTGCTTTCCACTTCCTCGTAACTCGAGTCCTTATTGTTGACAGTCTGAGCGGCTGGGTCGAAATGATCAACACCTGCAGAAGATAGGCGTCTCTGGTTAGCGAACACAGAGTTGCGTCGCTCGGGCACCTCGCCTTCAGCCTTGAGCCTGGCAAAGTTTTTCTCGGCGTTCCAGTTCCAGATACTGTCTGAGGAAAACAGCATATCAATTTCTTCAAGAGTACGCTGGTTGGTCTCCGGGTACAAGGCCCAGACCATGGGTATGGTGACGGCATTGCAAGCAGCGAAGATGTATAATGTCTTCTCGCCCAAGCTCTGAAACATGACTGGGCACAAGAGAGTCAACCATCCGTTCCCGATAGACCAGCCCACAACACCCCAAGCATTGCCCTTGGCGCGAATCTCAAGGGGAAATATTTCGGCAGGGTACAACCATGGCACGGTCAACCATGTCGCGCCGAACACAAAGGTGAAGATGTATACCATGGACACTGCGGCATTGCCGTATCCAGTGGCCTTAGGCAGGTTTCCCGCGGCTCGGGCGTCTTGACCGAGTCTGGAGAATCCGCCAGCAAGAGCCATGGCGATACCTTGCCCGATAGATCCCCAATAGCAGGTCCAGCGCCGGCCAATCTTGTCAAGTGTGAAGACACAGATGAGAGTGGAGAACATGTAGAAGATGTTGTTCAAGCCGGCAATCCACTGTCTTTTCGAGGGACTCATTCCGGCAATCCCAAAAATCGTGGGAGCGTAAATGGTAACACCGGCTATCCCGATCCACTCTTGCATGATCTGTAGCCAGACCACCAACTGCACCCGGCGCCCAGTGTGAAGCTTCCCAGACCGTGCGCCAAAGAGCATATGAAAGTAGGTCTGTTTGTGGAAGTGACTGCGCTCATATTGACAGGATTGGATGATATCCTGCAGCTCAGCCTCTGCGAGCTCTTTTTCCTCTGGTGTTGAATTGCCTCGGAGTCTGCCGAGGACGTAACGAGCTTCGTCCTCCCTACTCATCTTCACAAGCCAGCGCGGGGAGTCAGGAAAAAACAGGACCGTAGCGGCGAGAAGGATCAGCATGATGATCTGGAAGGCGATGGGAAAGCGCCAGACGAATGAAGAGTCGCCGTTGCCGTAGAAAGAGCAGCCGTATTCGAGCCAATAGGCGATCACGACGCCAAGGATGTTCAGAGTAAATTCGATGGCGACAAACTGGCCGCGGGATTTGTGCTCTGCGGTTTCTGTTGCCCAAACAGGAACAATGGCGTTGAGAATGCCTGTTCCCCAGCCATTGACAAGTCGAGCACAGATCATCCAGGAATGATTCATGGCGGAGCATTGTAAGGTGGCGCCAACGACCGCGATACAAGCACCAATAAAGATTGATCTGACACGTCCAAATCGATCGCCTAGGGAACCCCCAGCCAAAGCTCCCACCAGAGTGCCCAAGTAGTAGACGGATACGATCCCTCCCTGGAGTAAAGTATCGATAACAACTGGTCCGCCATCAGGACCACGATGTCCAAAGCCCATGAGAGTATAGTAGTCGTACGCCGTGTTGACGCCTCCCATCATTCCTTGGTCGTATCCGAAGAAGAGGATCGAGAGGCCAGCGACGCAGTTGATACTAAAAGCGTTAATCAGCAAAAGTGTTGAGACTCTAAAACGTATCGAAATCTTCACGTACGCAATCAGAAGAGATCTCTTTTCCAATCGATGGACAACATTGAAGCGGCTAATTTTCTCCATGCTGATAAATCTTCTCCAGTCAAGATATCAAAACAATTTCGAATGGTAGGGAAGAGGCAGACAATGTTAGCGTCGATAAGGGCCCGCGCTCACGATGCGAGGTAGAAATCATGTTGGAGAGTACAAGACCCGATTGATATACCCCTCTGAGGAGAGAGCGTAGATCTTGTTTGCCCATGGGGAGTCTCCATCTGCAAGTGTCTAAATGACGGATGAATGCAACATGCAAATTTGTTGCGATACGTTGATTCGCTGCGGCTGTTCGGAGATCTTCGTTGCAGTATGATCCGGTTTTTGATCTCTACGATTGGGCGGGGATATTCGGACAGGAGTCAGTGGATATCACACTGCCAGTGTCCTATTGGCAGATCGGTAACTGTCGTTCTCCGTTCGGTAGAATACTAAGCCGAAAACCGAATCACTTTGACCTCACCGAATCCAGTCAGATCCACGATTTGGACACAGAAGGAAAAAGCGGAATGTATCCCTTACTGAGGCAAGAGGATCGAATAAACACCGTCCGCCTCGAATATATCTCAGTTCTAGAAAATCATTTGACAACCTGCTTATCGAGTGAAGAAGCCCTTTGTGAATCCTGGGTTTAATTGTCTCTTTACTGGCAGCAGCACAATGGCAACCTTAGAGAGTATATCTGAACAAAGGGCTCCGATCACCCATCTCCTGTAGCTGTTCTTCCGTGTATTTGGAGTGTATTTCTTCAGGAGTCATCTTTTCTCGCTGGTGATTGATCCGCTGGAGGCTAAACCGCAAAATCCACCCCGACACTATGGCGGTAAGGAGGACTGCTAGAGAGATAGAGTAGCCCGTCCAGTAATGCGGTGACTCGCGAGCCAAGTAGATGTTAGAGCCGATGGCGCCTCCAAGGTTGCCCACCGTTAGTTGCAGAGCCATCCCAATGTTACGCTTCCAGTTGCCTGCGAGGTTGTTTGCTGTGTGGCCGCATCATGTAGTGTTAGACAATCTGTCTATCTTTACCAACTGTTCTTTGGGCAATCCACTCACCATTCCAAGCTATGACCCCGCAAAGAGACGGATAGAAGCCTGCCGCGACAAGAAAGAGCATCCCATAGCGTGCTCCAGGCCATTTCTCCTTCGGAAGTGTCATCAAGATTATAAACGCCACTGCGCATAATTTGAATGGATACAGGATCACAGAGGACCGAGTCTTCCACTTATCGCCATACCAGCTGCTAATGAGCACCACGATAACAGCCAGCATGTAGATAGGGATCGTAAGGAGTTGCTGTGAATTCATGGTCAGAAAAGTGCCGAGAAGATCAAGGCGAGATCATACCGCTTCGGCTGCGGAGTAGCCCAGTCCCTTGATGGCAGCAGGCAAGGAGAATACGAAACTGCCGGCATCAGATCAATGGTCGGACGGAGAGGATCGAGGTGAATAATGTGGGCACTCACCCGTATCCTGGAATAGTGTTGCCCCAGAATACCAGCACCGATAGATATATTTTCCAATCTGTCAACGCCTGCTTAAGATACTTCCATTTGAAGACATCACGATCCTTGGCCGCAATTTTACTGTCGGTCGAGAGTCGCTGGATGAGAAATGCCTTCTCCCCCTCAGAGAGAAATCCAGCCTTCTCGGGCGATGAACATAATATGAATGGTAGGGTAATCCCAAGGGCGACCGTGAGCATTCCTTCGATGATGAAGATCCTATACAGCACCCCCAGCTGGTCAACTCATGTCTTGGAAAGACAAGTAAAGTATAAAGAACTGACCATCTCCATCCTTCTAAGCCTGCGATGCCCTCCATTTTTTCAATTGCAAATGCAAGGAGCCCCGAAAATGCCCCGGCAAATGAAGCTGCGGTGTAGAAGACGGCTAGTCGTGTTTGGAGTTCGTATCGGCAGTACCAGGATGTGAGGATATATGTCGCTGCGGGGAACGTGCCAGCCTGGTTCCAGTTAATCGAGATCGTAATTCTCTTGCTTTATATCAATCGATTTGTGAGTATTAGAATCACATACTTCTGCCAATCCCAAGAAGAATCGAGCGGCAAGAAGACCGGCGTAGTTTTGAACGATACCCATCAACGTCATGACCGTGCCCCAGGTTATCACAATGATCGGAAGCCAAACAATTGGTTTTAATATCTTCAGGACGATGTTGCTTGGGACCTCAAATAAAGCGTAAGGGAAGAAGAAGATGGTCAGGCACATGTTGTACTGCTGATCAGTGAGGCCCAGGGTGGAGGTCAGACCTGCAACTCGAGTATTTCCAACTAAAAAGGCAAAGATTAGCCACCCATAGTAGGCCGGTAGATATTGAAGCATTGAAAACCTTACTATTTCCTCGGTCAAGATATGACATGAGGTAAATAAAGGTCAGCACAGGCAAGACGCGAAAATCGACTCGCCGCAAGACCTTCTTCAACTCCGCTGGATCGATGTCGGCATTTGCTTCCAGGGCAGCCAGATCCTTCTCAACCACCTCCGCGTGCAACGTTTGCTCCTTCTGAACATCGATCACAGGCCCTACTCTATTCTTTCGACGTACGAAAGTCGCCATGGCTGAAGACGTCTTGCGAGCTTGATCACCTGTCTGATTCCAACCCTGGCAGAGTTGTGCGAGTCGAGTTCCGGGCTGTATAAGAGTTGGGAGAGGTCATTAGATTGGATTAAGTCAATATCTTGAGATGAGGGTGC